TGGTACAGGGAGGGTACCCTAACATGGGAGATTTATTTCCCACTTTCAGGGGGACATAGCAGGGTCAGAGGGTCCTTCTTGTACTTGCTCTTTCTCAAGAAACTTTAATTCAAAATAACCAATAAGCCAGAGTGGCATATTTTCAAGTGGCATATTCTGCTTCCCTTCGTGTGTATTCATTCTTTCTGCTTTTGTACCTTTTTGAATATTTTTATCATTTTAATCACCGTTTTGCTCACACTGTATCTGTGGTTCCCTGTCCCCTGTCCCTCTTCCTCATCTGATCTGTTCCTATCCACCTATAACATTCCTTCTGGGCCCCCCCAGCCCTAGCTTTTCACTAAGTACCACCTGCCTTTCCCTCAGTCTCAGCCTCGTTCAGTACTGTCCCTCATGTCACTTACCTCAGTTAGATGCTATTGTCATGCCCTTCTCTATCATCTTTATTGAGGTTACATATCATACTTCAAGTCACCACCCAACCTTTCATCTAGAACTAAATCTCTCAGTGGAGGGCTTCTGTTGTTGACTTGTTCATATGGTATCGTTATTACTGACCACACAGAGGGAGTGGGTTCTGGAGAAATACTTGCTGATTGAAATCACACACACACACATACACACACCCCACAAGAAATTTACTTTAATTTCACATCACTCTGTTTTCTGTGTCTCAAGTAATATTCACTGGGGAAAAGCCCATCACTGACCTTTGCTTCTTCATCAATAACTTTATATCCTCAATAAATCAAGCATGAAGTTGTTTCTTTGCTACCTCTTATTTTACTAAATTCACTGAAAATAAGTATGAATAATAAGATGAACGGGTGGGGGAAAGAAACCTGAATGAAAAGATAGGTATCAAATCGGCAGCTTCACAAATCTTTTCTTTAATGATTACTTTTGATTGGTGTTTACATCTTCCCCTGAAAACTGACTTTATAAATGCCAGATGGTTATAGTCAGACTGGGATTTGAAGACAGAAAAAGCAAGCTGCTATAATGCTACGCAGGCCCAATTTTCCATCAGCAACAAACAAGACACTGACCTCTGGTGTTTTTCATCAGTAGCTAAGGTTATTCTTAATGAGTAAATAAACTCCTTTTTGAGGAGGCTTAGTTACTTTCAGAGTATTGGAAAAACTTTGAAAAATTCTCCATGCTGTTCTTAAATATAGTTTCGTATAGATTCCCTCAATCTGCATGGATGGTTGTAGTAGGGCACAGATGTAGAGATGGAACTGCCTATTATACTAAATATTGTAAAGGAAAATGATAATATTAAAACCCCCAGGAGCAAAAATCTGAGATCTACTTTATTTTTCGTAGGGAGGAGAAATGTAATATCTCTGGAACATATAATCAAGATCAGAAGTTGAAATTCTAAAGCAAACAAACAAAACAAAGTCATCAAATCTGCCAGGAGGGACATAAACTGTTAAACTTGTTTATAACACTATATAGAAAATGAGTAAAATTTGAGTTGAAAAAAAAAGGTATAAGCAGAGAAACCAATGAGGGCTGTGTGCTAGTAAAATTTGTTTCTACTTTATGAAAAAAAGTTGTGTTCATATTTCCAATCGTATATCTTCACATTTTATCTGTCTTATTCATTGGTCACATGAATGACTAAGAATATGTGTAATATTTGAAATAAATCTGTTAGGAAAAAGCATCCCCTACCAGCACCATTTCATTACTTTACTCTTAGTTATTAAATTAGGTTTGCACCCTTATCTATAGTTTTATCTTTTTAGTTTTCTTATAAAAGTCCGATATCTCTTGTCTTCTCTTGAACTCTTCAAATACTGCTGATGGAAATTAAGTTAGGCCTTTTGTGGTCATCCTATTTAAAATTGCAACCTACCCCTCTCAATCCTGGTCCACATGAGCCTGTTCTAATTTGTTACCATTGCATATAATATCATTGATGTATTTATTATGGAAATTGCTTTTTTGCTGCCTTCCCCTACATAAGGGTGTGGATCATCATTCATTTTGTTCTGTGATGTGTGTCAACCAACTAAAAAAATCACCTGTCATGTATTAGGCACTGAAGTAATATTGATTAATGGATTAATGAATAAATAATTGATGTATAATAGTAATAGCTAAAATTGCTAAGTACTGTACTATGTACTAAGCACAGTTCTAATTACAACAGAAGTGTAAAATTAGTCTTCAGAACATCCCTATGAGGTCAGTGCTATTATAATCCCATTATATAACTGAGGCACATAGAAGTTAAACAGTTTGATAGTTGCTGGCATTAACAACTAACTTCTATGGCTAAGTTATACGGCTAATAGTGGCACACTCCAGATACTGACATAGGCATTTATGTTTCCCAGGCACTTTTATGCTAAACTGCCTTTAGTTTACACACAAAGCCTGATGGGAAAAGTATGTGTTCTCATAAAAAACTAGCTCTGGTTCTTTTTAATGTCTCCACACTACTGAAAGATCATGCCTTGAAAATGATGGCTCACTAAGAAAGGCTTCCAAGGTAAGAGAGGATGAGGGCTGTGGGCAATTTTCTATAGGTTCCTGTAAAGGGTTTGCTTGTCTTCCTGTTCTCTGACATGAGGATTGACAACTGCCACCTCATTTCACTCTTGAATGCCACCAATTTCTCAAGATAGTTTCCTGAGTCTAAAATGTGGGTTTGGGGCCCTATCAAATATCTTTCTGTGGTTCTGAAAAACTATATTGATGATCCGATATGCAAGTAAAGTATTGACAGTAGAAAAAAGAACCCAAAAAAGCTTTTTCTTATACTTAGTCAATTGACAGTAACCTCCATAATTTTTAGTTTTTATTCTTCAGTCAGAAATCTCCATCCCCAGACTGAAACCTATTACTGCATTTCAGATCTTCCTCTAAATCTTAAGAGTTTCGGTCATTTCCTCCCAAGGTGGAGTTTCCTGCCATGCCTCATCCCCTGTGGTTTGCTAGATTTCTCCTTGGAGAGAGAATGAAAATTATGGCAGTGTAAGTTTAAGACTTGATTATCAATAATCCCCATCCTGTTCTGCTGGTTCCTTAACATCCCCATTCCCTTTCAGGACATCCACAGGGTGATCTAGTGCTGCCTGAAGTGTCCCTGGTCAGCACTCTTGGCGTTTCATGCTTGTCTAAAGACCAGAGACTAATGTGGACTTAAAGGGATTCTACTTAAACCTGAATATAGAGCTGGCATTTTCAAAGGCTGTATTTGTCAAAGTTTAGTCACTAAAATCTATACATATTTCTTCTAGGTTTAGCATAGACTTAAAGTCAGAATGCCTCTGACCTTGCTAATTACTAGCTGCATGTGCTTGAGCAATTTGCTTAATTTCCTCTCCTTCTTATATATAAGAATATTAACTTGGTACCTACCTTTAAATCCTCATAGTGATGTTGGATGCATAAAAGGAGCTGAGGTATTTTTGAGTACATGGCAGTTATTATTATTTGTGGTCAAAGCCATGTTCCTTGATTAGACAAGAAATCAATATTATTTTATAAGATGAGGTTATGGTGAACACATATAAAGTGAATGATTCTTATTTTCATTTACGTGATCTATAAAGTTTCAAACCAATTCATTGGTAATGACACAGGAACTTAAAAACGAAAATGTTTTTGCAACTAAATATGCAACAGAGGTAAGCGTCAGATGTTTTTATAATTAAGATAATCTGAAGTTTTCAATAAGCTATATTACACACAGACTGCCAACAATGCACAATCCCTATCTTATTTCCTTTATAATAGTACCTTTATTGTTCCACTGAAACATGGCCAGTGCGTGCACAATACTCCAGTTACAATTATGAGGGGCTTGGTATATTACAGCGACTCCGCTGTGCCTGCCGTTAGCTAGAAGAGTGCTGGGAGCAACAGCAGCTACTATCAACAGGGAGCCATATTAATTATTTGAAATGTGCCTCATAAGAGGAATCAGCAGTTTATTACAAGTTGAATATTACTTTAAACGGGAAGGTTACTCTAACTGTTATCATAGTCTATGTATCATTAACTTTCCTTGTTTAGGAAAAGAGATTAACAACCCTGTAAATTGCTGCAGTAAATGTGTAAAATGTAACTGCATATTCCCATCGTAGGAAGAAAGTAGTGGGTCCTCCAATTCTACTCAAACCTTCTTTATATAAAGTAGCTTCAGAAATTGAACCGATTCTGTATTTGTGCTTTCTTGTTATGAAATCCAAATTGGTTGCTGGATCATCATTATACAAACTACAGCTGCTTTGAACATTAGGAAAAATTTGGGGGTGTTTTAATATAGCAGTTGCTTTAATAAGATGCTCATCCTTCAAATCAACTTTAATGCTTTAGCTCATAAGACAGAAAGTACATTACAAACACATGAGCTTGCAGAACGTTTTGTAAGCAAGAGAGAATGGCTTCATCTACCTGGTTTTTATATTGTGGTCATTTTTTTCCTCATCAAATGTCATAAGCAAAAGTAGCATTTTATTAAAGAATGTAAGTATATCCTAAAATAAAAAATTTAATTAGGATTGTAAAGTTATTAAAGTAAGTACTAATCAAAGTGTTATTTGACATTGATGCCAATCTGCAACGAATAAGTGAAGGAATAAAGAATGTTTAGGAAATGTATCACAGACTCACAGAGTACTTAGTATCTGTTTAATCTAACAATTAAACATTAGGACTTATAATTTGCATGTTTTGGGTTTGGGTTTTTCCATTTCATTTTTCTTAAATCATTTTAATTGTATTTTAAGTATTATTCCACAATAAAATTATAATTTAACAATAACAACAACACCAACAACAAAAACTGAATTGTGTAAGAAAGACTGATTTAATTGGTTGATGTTTGGATGATACAATGTTTCTATGTTTGGCTTGACCTGTCTACACTGTATAATGGCTATTAATTCAGTGTAGAGAGAAATAATGTGAGTCATAAAACAGAAAAAAGTAAAAGGACATAACGGCTAAGTCTCTAATGCTTATGTTTGGGTCCACAGGACAGGCACATCATGGGCAGGTATCGTACATCTCTCCACCAATTCACCTTGACTCTGAGCTAGAAAGGCCCCCTGTGAGAGGTGAGTTTTCTTTTTTCTTCTTAATTTAAGGAAAGTGGAACTCTGTTCTTTGATGAAGGCAATCAATTAAGTCAAAGATAATTGTAAATATGTATTTTACTATGTAGAATCTGTTTTAAAAGCAGGGGGAATGGTGTGTAAGAAATCTGATGACAGAATGAGTCTTACTTATGAGCTACACTAAAATGTGAAATATGGTTCCGAGAAATGTTTGTAAAGCAAAATAAGCACTAGAAATGCATAGGGATTCAACTAGTGGAAGCTCAGTTGCAGACCAACCTAGATTTAGAGATTAGCAGATCACCATTACATTTTTAATTGGAACTTTCTTTTTATATTATCTTGTTTTTTTAATAAATTAAGATAGCTTAATCTAAGTATTGACATATTTATTTCCTTACAAATTTATATTTTATATTTTATTATCATTCTCTTAAAAATTAGTATTAGTAGCATTTAGTTTTAAGATGTATAAATTAAAATCATGTAGTTTAAGTGGATACCGCCTATTTAAGATTTTTTTCAAGAAACTAGTCAATAAAAATTAAAATAAGATTTATAATTACATAGTCTACATACAGAATTTGTTGTTCTGCTTTTAAGAAATATGTATTGGAGCCCTGGCTGGCATAACTCAGTGGATTGAGCATGAGCCTGCAAGCCAAAGGATTGCAGTTCAATCCCCAGTCAGGGCACATGCCTGGGTTGCAGGCCAATTCCCAGCAGGGGATGCAGGAGAGGCAACCACACATTGATATTTCTCTCCCTCCTTTCTCCTCTAAAGATAAATGAATACAATCTTAAAAAAAAAAGAAATATGTATTGGTTTTGAAACATTTTATAGTAAAGCTCATGTGATATAGACATGTCTTTTTATTTTATTAATATCAAATATCCTAAGGTTAATAATTTTTCATGTTAAAGCAAGGTAATATATTCCCTTATACCTTCAGAAGTATTAATTACTTGATGCAATAAAACCATTAGGTTTATTTTTATGAGCACGTTTTCTATACATGCTTTTTCTTCTGCCAGGGGTCTCTTTTTCTATTTCAGCCATTAAGTTTTTACCAGTGTTTCAAAGCTATTATTATTATCATTATTATCTTTTATTGTTCATGCTATTATAGTGGCCCTCTTTTTTTCCCCTTTGTCCGCCTCCAGCCAGCACCTCCTCCCTCAGACAGTCAATCCCCAAACCATCCTCCCTCTCCGTGGGTCATGCATACTGTTCTTTGACTAATCCCTTCACCGTCCTCCCTCCGGCCTCACCCGTTTCCTCTGAAGTGCTGTCAGTCTGTCCTCTGTTAAGCTTTTGTGACTCTGTACCAGGGAGGAGCTAACTGAATGCCTCTGTTCCTCAAATGCCCCTGTGCTTGGCTCAGTGTTTACACATAAGACATTGTATTTTATTTTTCAGTGTGCGTGTTTCCCTATGTCTTTTGTAAGGTCCTTGAAGGCAGAGAGTGTCATTATTATTATTTTTCCTCCAACCAATGGCCTGTGCTTGGCACATAGTAAAGCTCTCATAGGACCGTTTCTAAGTGGCTAAAATTAAAGGTGACGACCTAGGTTCTGAAGGTTTACCCATCAGTTTTAAAGGAGAAAAGGGAGTGGGGACAAAAGGAGAATCCTGAGAAGAAGGAAGCAGAATGAACTAAAACACAAGTATGTGAACGCTGTGGTGTTTTTAAGGAAATATACTCAATGCACAGTAAGGTGGAAACAGTTCTAAAGGAAAAGACAGGAAATGTGTAATAGGGCAGCTCATGAAGGATTCTGTATCACACACCAAGGAGTTTGTATTTTATCCTGGAAAAAATGATGAAATATTTTTAATTTTTACAAACTTTTCCTAAGTCAGTGGGATGTTACATCACAGCACCATCATAGCATTATCAGTTCTTGATATGAGAAAAATATCCATGACATCAGAATAGATGATGAGAGATTGGCAGAGGGAGGCTGTTTCAGTAGGACTTGTAAAAGACGACTGGAAAAGCAGGAATGTGTTGTCAGCAATGGCAACTCTGGGCAATATTTTAAAGAGACCAGAGAAAGAAAGAGAAATGCCTCTAAGGGTTTTATATTAATTAACAGCTTGGATGCTTATGACATAATCCCTCACCATACATGAGGAATAGATGAATTTTAAACTGATGCATTGTCTTCGCTATGTTAATGCTTAGCAGCATGTTGTTCCTGTGAAAGATGGAAGGCTACTTATGCAAGTTGGTGACCTTAATGTAACTCAGTTTTTCAGACATGATCTCAGTATGGTTTGGGAAGAGTACTAGAAAGTCTTGGATAGGATGTGTAATAATCCACTAAAAGTTAGCAGCTTTAAACAAGAAACATTTGCTATAGTTCTCAGAGTTGGTCATGTGTGCACTCGCTTGGATGTTTAGCAGTTGGCAGGCAGGTTGGTTTTGCAGGGGAGGGAACTCACATGTGGTAGTCGACTGGATGTCATCTGGGCTGAGGACCATATGGCTCTCATTATCGAGCAGACTCACGCAGACATATTCCCATATTCCCATGGTGACAGGATTTCTAGCCATACCTAGGAAAGTCCCAACATTCAGGCATTTTCCAGGACTCTGTTTGTGTCCTGTGTGCTGTGTCTCATTGGCCAAAACAAGTCAGCCAAACCCAGACTTCAGAGAGCAGAAATAGACTCCATTTCACAACCCAAAGGAACTTGAATACAGAAAGGGAGGATTTGGGGACCATTTCAGACTACCATCCTTAGGCAGATAAAGAATAAAATAAATGGAGAATGAAGTAAGACAAAAATTGACTGATAAAATGAAAGGATTTAGAGCGAATACACTTAAACTTGAGAATCCTAGAATTTTCTTCAGTTTACTCAACTGGTGCACAGAAGATCAGAAATAAGAACTTCACGGTGACTTTTTGTGAGGATGAGGGGTAATATAGAGCAAAGCCTGGCATCTGGTGGGCCCTAGATAAGATGTGGCTAGTACTGTGTAATTTTGCATTCATTGCAGAGGCACATGGAGAGAAATTGGGCTTTGGAGCCGAGCAGACCAGCACGACTTTAGAATGATTGTCTGGATACCTTCTAGTTCTCATGTCACTTCCCTGCTTACACTGGCCCAGAGATTCCCCTAAACTGTATGGTGACTAATAGTATTGCAGCTATAGTCACGAGCTCATGTGCTGTAGTCTTATAGTTAAAAAATAATAATAATTAGATCAAGGGGTTTGTAAAAATCACCAAAATAACATTGCAAAAATCATGTGTTTTTTTTCTTAAATCTAGTATTTTACTTCTAAAATAGTCTTGAGAATGGGATAGATATGGCATAATACCATTACCTTGGAAACACAAGTATTTTCTTTCAACTTTCAACTATCACCCATCATCTTTATTTACTATTTTAAATTATACTGTAAACTGTTGGAATTTACATGCAGTCAAATTTTATAAATAAACTATACTATATATATATATATATATATATATATATATATATATATATATATAATATTATGCTCTGGTTGGTGTGGCTCAGTGGATTGAGTGCCAGCTTGTGAACCAAAGGGTCCTTGGTTCAATTCCCACTCCAGGCACCTATCTGGGTTGCAGGCCAGGCCCCTAGCAGGGATCACGTGAGAGGCAACCACACATTGATGTTTCCCTCCCTTTCTCTCTCCCTTCCACTTTGCCTAAAAATAAATAAAATATTTTAAAAATATGTCTGTCCAGCCATGGAAGTTATCCAAAGTTATCTGGAAGTTATCTAGAAGTTATCCAGAAGTTATCCAGCCACACAATATGAAAAAAAAGACATTTATTAAAGAAGATACAAGATATAAAAACATTGTACACATTTTTACATAGGACAATGACACCTCAGTCCCCTTCAAAGTAGGTACCTTGGGACCTCACACAGTTTTCCCAGTCACCATCAGCTGCCCCATAATATTTTCCTGAATCTCACTGACAATCTGAAATATCTTCCCTTTCAAAGGTGATTTTAGTTTTGGAAAAAGCCAGAAGTCACAGGGTATCAAATCTGGGTTGTAGTAAGGCTGAGTTACCTGGATGATTCGATGTTTGCCAAAAAATTCTGCACGAGATGTGATACATGGGTGGGCACTGTGCCATGATGAAGCTGCTGATCACCAGTTGCCCATACCTATGACCTTCTGAATTATCTGAATAGTTTCCATGAAGAAATATTCAAGTTTAATGCAAAATTTAATGCAGATTCATTGCTCTACTCACTCAGTCATTTTGAATGGTATGCCAACACAGTATACTTGCTCACTCAACAGCATCTGCTGCCTTCACTGACTAGTACAGTGAAGTCATTATTGTTCATGCATGTGCATTCCGGTCCACTCTCCTTGGCTGCCAGGTTACATTGATGTTGCATGGAAACTCTTCTCATTATATTAACAGTGCTGGACTTTTTTCTGGACAGACTATATCTATATATCTTTATCTATCTATATCTATATCTCTATCTCTATCTATATATATCTATACAGAGAGAGGAGAGATAACCTTTCATGTACATTATGGGTTTTTATTTGAATTAATAGAATAAGATAAATTAGTTTCTTTAAATAATTTGAAATTTTACCTCCAATAACTTTTTATAAGATTACATAGCAATATCCTCTAACATGCCTGAAAACTAACATTAGCTACTCATTTTAGCTTTTCTTTTTCTATTTTTTGCTATAATTATATATGTATATATATATTATGAATATAAAAGCTACAGCTAGATGTTCCCTCTCCCACATTGACCTGTAGCTGTTTGTATTTTGTTTCTTGTCTACATGTTGTTAATGTTCTGGGAATTATTGCTTTATGAATTAATTCTTGTGTATTTTACAGTCTTGACTGTTTTTTATAGGGAAACCATACTTATTTTTTTTAATATTTATCAAGCTAGCCAAAAAAATTTAAGTGTATTAATATAGTTATAAATATCAGCAAACATAACTTTTTAACAGAAAAT